GGACCTATAATACTCCCAGAACTCTTATGGAATTAAGTTGGTTCGGCTAAACTCATCTAGAATAGAAAGTAGCTCGGTGTTTGAAGTTGTGTGTGCTAGCCCTCGGTTATAATTATCATGCAAGCTTCCTCATCATTTTCTTCACTTATGCCCTCGGTTATTGCTTGATCTTAACATGATAAAATGTTAACTCTCCCAAACTCTCACTACTTATAATTGGCGCAAGACATAAAAGAAGCATGAGGTGGACTTTTAAGATACACATGGCTTTAAATTGAGATGCTTAGTCATCAAGTGGAATGTTAATGTAATACCCCGTTCGATTGTGGATTATTGGTGTTATTATTATTATTATTTGTTCTCCTTGTTATTATTATATTGCTAAGGTGGTTATTATTATTATTATTGAATGACTAAATATTATTATTTGCCAAATTATAATTATTTATCTAAATGTGTATTTTTATTATTAATATTATTATTTTAAAATATTATTGTGTGACATATATGTATATATGTTCTGGATTAATATGTTCGTCGTCAATTGAATCGATCGAAAATTCTTTTAATCGCGTTGTATTATCCGAACCGTTATTATTTATCAAGCCTGGAGTTCTATTTTTCGGCCCAATTGAGAAGGGAGTCCTTCAGCCATTTTGACTAATCAATTGAGGCCCAATCATTTTATTCAAGTACTGCAATTTGGGTAATGTTTCCTTTGGCCCATTTTGTACGATTTTCTTGTCCCATTAAGGAGAATTTTATCGAACAGATTTCTTCTTCTTCTCTGCGCAAGACCGAGTCTCCCTCTTCGCCATTCTGTTCCGATTTCCTTGCACAATCCTCCTCGTACGTTCTCCTTTTTGCTCATCTATATCACGGTCAAGCAGAGCATTCAAATTTCAGAGTCTATTATCTCTCTCTCTCGCATCTATTAAAAAAAAAAAATTCGTGTGCCTACAATCCGGCGACCTCCACCATCCCCGGCGATCTTTCTATCTCGAACAATTCCCGGCGACCGTCACCATCGAGCAGAAGGCCGTTAAACTCCAAGCATCTCGATTCGTGAGATGTCCAGCAGCCCAACCGCCATTAATTCCGGCGAGCACCGAGCAGCGTCCTGCCATCGTCAACACCCTCCGCAGCGGTTGACCATCGTCGTCGATTCCAGAGCAGCAGCCGTTCGTGAGCTGCGTCGCTTCCAGAGGTCTCGAGCTTCGAGGCTCCCGATCGTCTCGTCCGTTTTTCCGTTAGCTCGTAGATTCCCGAAGACGGGTAAATCTCTGCGAACCTCCTCGTATATTGTTATACAGATTGATATCGCTCGTTCATTTTCGTTCACGTTGAATTGTTTCGTTGGCTTTCGTGTTCGATTCATTGGTCGGCTTGTTTAATCGTTTTGATTGTCGGATTATGTTCGTGAATTGTTCGTGTGATTCAGAACACTCGGTTATTGTAAAAATTGAGTATTTTTGTTGTTGTGTGATGTCTACAAGCAACTCAGATTCTCGTCGTTATCTTTCGAGTGGTCGTTCGTTGATTTCGAGCCTATTATTGTCGTTTAGTATTCCAACCCAAAACCTGTTTTTATGAACATTTCGAACTCTGAGATTGGTATTAAATTGTAAAGTTGGAATTTCCCAAAACCAGGTCGATGTGGGAAGTGTCGTTGTTTGAGTTCGATAAAAATTTCTGTCAATCTTCTCGAGAAATTGCAGCTCTGTTCTTTTATCAGGTCCCAGGCTTTAGTTTTCATTTATGTCATTCAAGTCTTCAATTAAATCGCATCCAAGCGTGTGGTGCAGTGGTGCAGCCGTTGACATCTATTTATGAGGGGCAGGGTTCGAATCCCCCAGCCCTTGTTTCTTGCCTTTTTCTTGTATTTGTAACCAATTTCAGCAGTGCGGGCTTCTTGGCCCGCATTTCGGCCCGCGCGGCCCGAGTTCTCTCTTAGCAGTTGGCCCGCGGGTAGCCCAGTCCCGGCCCGCGTCCTGCAGGCCCTAAGTGCAGCCCAATTGCTCGTTGTGGCCCAATTTCGTTGGCGCCAGGCCCAATTTCGGGGCAAATTCAGCCCAATTCAGCTTTTAGCCAAATTTTGTTTTCCGGGGCCCATTTTTCGACCCGAACTTATTTTTTTAAAATTATTTCAAAGTAGAAAAAAATTGAGAAAAATTATTTTAAGTCCCGTGACTCTAAATTAATTTTTTGGGTTCTATTATTCAAAAAATGAGAGAGTTCCAAGTCTACGAAAAATCCGATCAAAAACCCTTAAGTCTTAATTTTTATTAAGTATGGGTTTTATGTTAAAAATTGAGTAGTGAGATAGATT